TAGAGAGAAACTTATCGGTTTCATACATCATACCAAGATTATTAGTAACAAACAAGATGCATCAACATATAGAACTAGAATTACAAATGCGCTCCCACTGACCTTCAGATATATACACCGATCAACAGTGTTTTTCTTAAATCCAAAAGTGGTAATGGTATTATTAAACTTGAAGTACCATTGCTTAGAAGCTTGTTTCAGTCCATATATTGATCTCTTTAATTTACACATCATGTGTTCCTTCCCTTCAATTGGAAAACCATCAGGTTGTTCCATTTACACTTCTTCTTCTAAATTCCCATTCAGAAAGGTAGTTTTTACATCCATTTAATGAAGCTCCAGATCATAATAGGGTACCATTGCCATAATAATTCTAAACGATTCATTTGAGGAAACCGGTGAAAAGGTCTCATTGTAATCAACACTATCTTTCTGAGTAAAACCTTTGGCAACAAGTCTGGCCTTATAACATTCAATATTGCCATTAGAGTCTTGCTTGGTCTTAAAGACCCATTTACACCCGATTGTTTTACAACCTTTAAGCAATACTACTAAATCCCAGACTTCATTATATTCCATTGATTTTAACTCTTCTTTCATGGCATCTAACCACTTTAAAGAATTATCACTTTGAAGAGCTTGTGAAAACAAAATTGGACCTGCTTCCATTCCCAAGTCAAATTCTGACTCTTGAAGATAAACCACATAATCATTAGCAATGGCAGACCTCATTTGTCTTTGATATCTTCTTAATGTCACTTCTTATTGTTCATTTACTACTTCATGTGGTTCATCATTATAGGTTCATTGACTGCTACATTATTAAGAAGTGCTTGCTCAATTATTTGTTGTTCTTGATTGTTATCAGAACGTCTAACAACTACAGGAACCACAACCTTAGTAGAAATCATAGGCGTAGGAACTTGTACTCTGATTTCTTGAATATCCATTTTACGTGGTTCAACACTCCCACTAGTTTCACCATTCTCAATAAACCTTGCATTTCCAGTTTCAACTATTCTCATACTATGGTTAAGACAGTAAAAATGATACCCTTTAGATTTTTCTAGATAACCAATAAAAAATCCACTAATCGTTCTTGAGTATAGTTTCTTTTCATGTGGATTATAGATCTTGACTTCTACTGGGCAACCCCAAACATGCAGGTGCCTCAAACTGGGTTTCTTTCCTATCCACAATTCAAAAGGAGTCTTTTGAACTGCCTTACTAGGAACCCTGTTTAATAAATATATAACAGTCTTTAATGCATATATCCACAATGATGAGGGTAACGAGGAGTTACTCAACATAATTCTAACCATATCTATTAACATATGGTTACGCCTTTCTGCAACACCATTTTGTTGCAGTGTCCTTGGCATTGTTTATTGAGCACATATACCTCGACTTTCTAGGAATTTAGCAAATGGACCTGGACTTTGTCCAGATTCATTGTATCTACCATAATATTCATCACCTCTATCTAATAGTACTACTTTCACCTTTCTATCTAATTGCCTCTCAACTTCAGTAATGAATACCTCTCGGATATTAACAGATTGAGATTTTTCATGCAATAAATAGACAAATCCATAATGTGAAAAGTCATCTATAAAAGTGATGAAATATCTTTTCCCACTAAAAGAAGGTACATCAAAAGACCACATGTATCCGTGTGTATTAGTTCAAGGAGTCCTGTGCTTCTAGTGCCTGTTTTCTTAACTGTGGATGTGGTATGTTTTTCCCTTAATAATCCACATAAATGCCAAGATCAATAAAATCCAAATCAGGTAAAACTTCATGCTTTACTAATCTTTGCATTCTTTCTTTTGATATATGGCCTAAACGTTTATGCCATAAATAAGTAGATTTCTCATCCACAGAAGCACGTTTTGTTCTTATACTATGATGCAAGGTCAAAAATGTCTCAGCAAATAAACTATCAAGATGTAATTTATACAATCCATCACAAAGCACACCAGAACCAATTAAAATTATGTTTAAATAAACTGAAACATCCATTCTCGAATTTAAAAGGATATCCTTCTAAATCAAGTTTAGATAAAGATATTAAATTACGGGATAACTCCGGTACATACAGGGTATTAAACAAATCTAAATGATGTCCAATACTTAAAATTAAAGGATAGGTTCCAACGACTTCAACTCGTGCTTTCACCCGATTTCCCATGTATACAAATCTTTCATTGTCGTTTATGGTTTGGGTCATAAGGAATCCCTGCATAGTATTAGAAATATGAGTGGTATATGCAGAATCAATCCACCAAGTATTATAAGGAATTTCTGATAAATACAATTCGAAACATACAAAAGCACTAGGCTTACCTTTCTTTTCAAACCATGCCTTACGTTTGAGCAGTCCCTTATATAGTGTCCAACTTTCTTATGGAAATGGCACTTTTCTTTAGTCTTATCCTTCTTATGGATTTGGGCAGAAGACTCATCAATCTTTAGTGGCCTTTTGCCCTCTCCATACTTCTTGTTGGATTTCTTCTTAACTCTAGACGAGCCCACCAGATTAACTAAATGAACTCCTTGTTTCTTCAATCTTTCCTCCTACTGTACTAACTTAGTTTAAAGCTCAGTCATAGTCCATTTATTTTTAAATATATTATAATTAATTTGAAATGGACTAAATTGAGAAGGTACAGAGTTAATAATAGGGGTGAGCGGTTTCGGGTACCTTCCATTTTCTGGGGGAACTGAAACCGGAACCGCACAGTGCAAGTTCCTAAAAAAAGGAACCGAAATAGGAACCGCATAGTGCAGGTTCTTCAATTCAAGGAACCGAAACCTAAAATGCATTTTCTGGTTCCTTTCCAGGGTACCCTATAAAAAATCAATTACCCCCCTATTAGTTTAAAAAATGACAAAAATACCTTAAAAGTTTACAAATACACCCCTAACAAATATACTATTTGGGTTTAGGGTTTAATTATAATGTAATATTATGATTAATTAAATTTTTAATCATTTAATTAAGTATTGTAATATTATTTATAATAGAATGTTATAATTAATTAAGTAATAATACCATAAATTTATAATGTAATGTTATAATTAATAAAATTCTAATCATTTAATTAAGTATTGTGTAAATTAGTAAATTAATTACTAATGTTTATAATATAATGTCATAATCAATTAAGTAATCATTTAATTATGTAATGTTATATTAATTATATGATCATACTATAATAGTATAATGTAATGTTATAATGAATTAAGTAATCATACTACAAATCTATAATTTAATATTATAATTAATTAAATTTCAAATCATTTAATTAATATACTAATGTTTATAATGGAATGTTATAATTGATTAAGTAATCATATTACAAATATATAAAGTAATGTTATAATTAATTAAATTTTTAATCGTTTAATTAAGTAATGTAATAAAATAGTAAATTACTAATGTTTATAATGTAATGTTATAAATTCATAACTAATTAAGTAATTATGCAATCATTTAACTATATAATGCTATAATTAAGTAAGTGATTATAATATAATGTAATATAATAATATTATAATTTAATTGAGTAATTATTTAACTATAATGTAATGCTTAATTAATGTTTATAAGGTAATGTTATAATTAATTAAATTTCTTATCATTTAATTAAGTATTATGCTAATGTTTATGTAGTAAATTAGTAATTACTAATATTTATAATATAATGTCATAATCAATTAAGTAATTATTTAATTATGTAATGTTATAATTAATTATATAATCATACTATAATGTAATGTTATAGTGAATTAACTATTAAGTAATCATACTATAAATTTTTAATGTAATATTATAATTAATTAAATTTTTAATCATTTAATTAAGTTTGTACTAATGTTTATAATAAAATGTTATAATTGATTAAGTAATTATACTATAAATCTATAACGTAATGCTATAATTAATTAAATTTCTAATTATAAGTCAATTAATTAACTATTTAATTATGTTATAACTTATAAGTCAATTAATTAAGTAGTAATCAATTAATGTAATGCTATAATTAATTATACTATAAATCAATTAAGTAATGTTATAAAATTATAATTAATTAAGTAATCATTTAACTATAATGTAATGTTATAATTGATTAAGTATGATATTTAACTAGTAATTAAATTTATTAATGTTTATCAATTTATCATATATAATTAATTAATTACTAATTTATTATAGATATACTTAGAACTTGATAATTGAAGTAAATAACTAAATATATTATTACTCAATCAAATATACTATTTTATTCAAAAATAATTCTTTTAATAACATTAAAAATGTAAAACACTTTTAATTGGATCATAATTCTAATTATTCATTTAATTAATCAAAACTTTAATATTAATGTATTATAATATATTAAAGCTTTTAATATGGTGTAATTTATATGTAATAAGTATAATTATATTCGTATATTTATTTAATTAGGTTATTCTAAAAATTTAACTTTTTCTATTTTAAATTTTTTTATATGAAAAATAATAGAAACCTTCCATTATTGACATTTCACAAATATTTCATTGTAGTCCAGGTTCCAAAACAGGTTCCAAAACAAGTTCTAAAACAGGTTCCAAACAGGTTCCAAAAATCGGTTCCAAACCAGGTACCCCTTATAGGTTCCAAACAGGATGCCCTTTTTACAGGTTCCAGTTCCGGTTCCGGTTCTGGTTCCTCCATACACAAGAACCGGAACTAGAACCGCACAGTATCGGTTCCAAAAAATTGGAACCGGAACCTACCCGCACAGTACCTATTTCGGATAGGTTCCAGTTTCGGTTCTGGTTCTACCCCCCGGTTCTGGTTCTACCCCCTACCCGTGCTCACCCCTAGTTAATAACGAACTGAACTAGGAAATTTTCGTCCACAAACATACCCATGTTTCTAATTCTTGCTGCTATATTTGACATCTTAGTCACATGCTCAGACATGCTACGAGAACCATCATATTTCATGGTGGTCAGCCTACTTTACGGGACTTGTCAGCTGCCTCAGACTGAGAAGTCTCTTTGGCTAATCTCATAAATTCCCTAGCATATTCTGTGGTAGGAAATGAGGTCTTAATTTCACTCACCATTATCATCCGTAAAAACTTTAGCCTCAATCTATTCGATCTCTCCCATTCTTTACGAAAAGGCCTCTCCTCATCAGTGTTGTTCTCGGTGAGATCAATTGGTTTCTCTATCATGAGTGAAAGGTCAAGATTCTGAACACTCAAGTAATACTCAACTTGCTCACTCCACTCATTATAATTGAACTCATTAAACTTAACAACAGATGAGGCATGAAGAGCAGATGCTGCAAAAACAAAATTATGCTTTCACATTAATGCTTTGAGTTTTATACATAATACATAATTTTAGGCTCAGATATTAAAATTTATTATTATTAAAACATAAATGTATATTGAAAATCTCCTTTGGGGGATAAAACAATATATGATAATTAAACTTAATTGATGCAATTTTGTTAATTGGTAATCAAATGTACTTTCGTTAGACATGTTTGTTATCTTTGGATATACTAAACACACCCAGTCAAGTACATTAATTAACCATAGTTATGTTCATAATTATAAGATCAACTAATCTATCTTTGGGCGATTCTTAACTATCCTATAATTTATGAACTTCAAATATCATGTCATCTCTTTAAAGCATCTAACGATCATGAGTAATTGAATCTAACTTAGTTTGATATCTATGAGATAACCATTCTAATTTTCCACTTTAGCGACTAACAAATAGTACATAATATAATATCAAACTTAAATAATAACTATAATGCAAGGTTGATTAAGAATATAAAGAAAACTTTCTCAACAATGCATTCGACAGCTAGCCGACAACCTCTTACAAGTTTAGCTATTTTGGGAAAGATTTCAATTACTTTCTTGGAACCACTTCTAAAAAGCTAAATGGATTTCTAGTACACCATCTGAGAAATTGACATCTTTATATGGACCACTTACACATATCTCAGGTCTGGAAAAATATCTTAATCAACAAATGAAAACACGACATTTGTATGAAAAGTGTGACTAGCTGACTGTCTGCACACTAGACTCTGATGTGCCCACATGTTATACATAAAAACAGACTAACAAAGTGTACGCACATAAACACAGAGTGTCATGACAACTGGAAGCTATAAAAATGATTGTGCTTAAACTAAATGATGTGCAAACAATAGAACTGAATGTGCCCAAACAAAATTCATAAAGATACTTACAGTTATCAACCAAAATGTGGCCATTAGCCACAATCTTAGGCGCCATCATGCCATGAAAATCATGGCAATGGTGTTTAACAACTTATATTATTCACTATACATATATTACTTATTGTACAATCACCAATTTTTTGTCCCAAAATATAACTCTCTTACTGAAAAAATAAAATAAAATTGCACTCACAAATTGTTGAAGCTAATTAATGCAATTTTTTTTTTCCTTAGCTCTGAGTCCTGACTTTGGGATTCACCTTATAATACAGAACATAAGAGAAAATTAAAAGGGATGTTGAGCATATAGCAAGTCAAGCTACTAACTCTAAAAGGAATACAGTATCAAAAATCTCCAAAAAGCTTGTTCGAGCTTTCATCCTTGAATTAGAGTCTATATTTTTCTTCTTCTTCTTCTTCTTCTTCTTTTTTTTTTTTTTTTTTTTTAATGTCATTTAAATTATTAATGATAAGATTAGTGACTTTAATACAGGGTGATTTCAGTTATATAATGAATTTGTTTCAGTTTAAAATATTCATCATTTATCTGTCTTTCCATTAAAAATTTAATAAATTATAAGACTGTTCGTTAGTAAATTAAGAAAGAATAAAGATAGACGACAACATTTTTCACTAATTTTCTCTCACAAACACGACGTGACAGTTGCATTGGTCAGGCAAGACCATTGTTGGACAAGCAAAACTTATTGCGAACTGACACATCGCGTTTATAAAGAAAAGTTAATGAGAAGTATTTGTCAGTGTGTATTACTCATTAAGAAAACATTATAGACATAATATTATTGTAATTACACATATATGATGGATCGTAATCCTTATTAAGAACAACTTTTGAATTGGGGATGATATATATCTAAAGATGAATTGTGAACTAGGCTCGATTTTATCCGTTTAAAAAATGGCTTAAACTTAGGTAGGCCTTCACGTTAGCATATATTTGTGACTTTTGTTTGTTTTGTTTTTTTTTTTTTTTTTTTTTTTTTTTTTTTTAAGGAGAAGAAGAAAATACCATTCCTAATGTTAAAGGATTCTTTGTTTAAAAGGATAACCATTTATCTAGTTCATACTTCATTTTATGATTCGATCTCTCGGGAGAAGTTTGATAAATTGCATAATTTGAGGTGTTTTAGGGTTGTTTTGATGTTAGTTTAGTTAACTTCTTATTTGTTTCCTTTGTTTTTATGTTTGTTTTTGTTAAGTTTGAGATATGAATGGTTTACCTATTGATTTGGATAACTTTGTGTTTTTTTTAGGCTTTGATTGAGTAGATTGGAGTATTGGAATGAAATTGGGACTTAAAGCTTGAAGAAGTTGAGATTACCCTTCAGTCTTGAAGGCCACGGCCATGCCTGGTAGTTCACCATGGCCATGGTGATGGAACAAAGAGAAAACAAAGAGACTAGTCAGCACACGGCCTAAGCTGTGGTGACTTAAATTTGGCCACGGCCAGGGTTGTGGGGGAAACTATTAGCGCGTTTTTATAGTTTTTCTTTCCTTTTTCACTTAGACTCTTTTGGGTATTAAGTATAATTGAGATCAGTTGTCAAGGGACGAATTTTGCATATTTTGAGAGGAGAAGACGCATTCTTGAGGCTTGAAGACTGAAGATCAGATTTAAGAGTTGATTTTTATTTCTTTTAAAATCGAAATGTTTTCCTTCTTCTCTATTTATTTCTTTGTTCTTAGGATGAAGTAAATCTCTTTTGTTAGGGGAGGATGAAACCCTAATTATGTTTTGAGCAAATTTTATTCTTAATACCAGATTTATGTTTATGAATTTGTGCAAGAGTTTAGGTTAATGCTTTATGAATGTTGGATTGATTCAATACCTTGTGTGGTTTCGAATAGAGAAGTTAGGGTTTATTGCTTAATTCATATTCATAATTGTTCCATGGGAATAACATTGCAAACATATATAAACTAGAATTAATCGAATGAGATTCTAGGATTATTGTGGTCCATTAATTCTAACTGAATAGGGCGAATTAGTCGTAAGGGATTGAGAATTTATGCTCTTAATTTCAGAGTAACCGAATAGGGATCTGTATTAAGTTGAATATTATGCCTGAATAAGGATAAATGACCTTAGAAGAATCCTACCAATTCATAGCATAAACAGGTATTAAGAGTAGTTGTCAAGCAAATTAGGGGGAAATCTGTACCCTAACTTCATTAATATGAAAAGTTCATCACATTATTTATTTGTTTAATTTAGTTATTTTTAATCTGTTATTTTTACACTCTAAGATTTCGTTTTCTCAAATAACGTGTAAGTAGTTTAAGTAATTACAAATATTCGCTTTGATTCTGTGGATGATACTCAAACTCATCATTTTATTACTTGAACACAACTAGTGCACTTGCTAAGGTTGATTAGTCGCATCAAAGTTATTCCTAGATTAATTCTAGTTCACAGTTTATCTTATAATTTCATTTCCCCTATAGCAAGAGAAGTTGTTCTTTTCTCTAAGATTATACTTCTCTCTCTCTTTCTTTTCTATATATGTTCAAGATGACCTTATAAAGGTTCAGATCTTTGAACAATTTAATTTTACTGGCTTGGACGACAGCAACATCCAATCCTTGACTGCATTTTTTTCGTCCAGGTAAGTGAATGATTTGTTATGAACATATTCATTTGGCACCTAGATCTTGGAAAATTTTCCTAAAAAAGTTAATTACCCTTTATATTTAAGCTCCTGTGTGCATATAGTTAGTGATTTTGTACGGTTAGTTTTCACATTTAAGACAAATTCATTTTATATATACCAGATTTTCATTTTATTTTATATTTCCTTATCTTAGATAGGTCAAATGGACCTTGCATACCAATTAATACTAAAACAACGTAACAGAAAAATAAATCCAAGATCAAGTCTTTGTTATTTGACCAACAAACACACAAACAATAGAAATAATAATGGAAAGATAAAATTGGACATATTAATTTACTTGATTCATCCCACAACTAGGGCTGGCAATTTCTGGGGGTGGGGATGGGTAGTGGTTTCCTTGTCCTTGCCCCTAGCACCAAACTTAATCCTTGAAGCCATCTCCATCCTCGAAATTTAGGGGTCGGAGGTGGGGCATGTAAACTCGCACAAAAGAGACAAAATTCATTCTCATGCCTATACTAGTCCCGTCCTTGAAAATTTCAACACATTCTTCTTTCTCTTTTTTTTTTTTTTTAAATGAAAATAAATGAATAATTATAATACTCTTTAGAGGTGTACTGGATTATTATTTGAAAGTTTTTTGGACTAACTATTGATCTTTGTAATGTAGAGAAAAAAGTTAAACTTTGTTGTTACAAACCAATATTATTTAAATTAAAAAACCACTTCCAACAGATATATTAAACAACTAATCAGTATATTTATAACCATTCTCATTGAATTTTGATGTATAAATGAAGGAAAACTTATACACGTCATATGTATACAGTGTATATTCTATAAACTAAATGAAAATTATTATATAAATTTTGCATCTTATTTCTAATGTTGAAGTATGTATTTAGAGTATTTTTTATAATTTCTTATGGTTATTATATTTACTTGAAAATTCTCACATGTGAGAAAATTGAAATCAAAACACCCATGAGAGAAGTAACTTTATATAATATCATTGTTATTGCTAAACATATATGTTGAGTGTTGGAAATGTGGATTTATTTAGTGATTTGGGGGTGAAACTATAAGGAATTTAAGGTTTAATATATGATTTATGATGTGATTTCTTGCATGTTTCGTTATCTTTCGGAATCATGGGTGTTGTGTGTTTTTCAGGTATTCAGGTGCAAAAGAATGTATTATTCGTGCTTGTGTTGGTGTTCGGACATCCTGGACTCGTTCGAGTGTGGATAAATCAAGGCAAGAAGTAAATGTGTGAAATTCCGACTTTGCGCCGTGACTCAATTAAATTGAGCCGCGCCGTAAACGAGTCGGAATAAACTGAGTCATAGCGTAAACGCATCGGGGCTCAATTAAACCGAGCCGTGGCGCAACTAAACTATGTCGTGTCGCAAATCGAATGTAAAACTGTCGCATTTCCAACCCTAATTTCGGCGACCAGTATTTACAAGTTTTCCATTTTGTCTAAAAAATATAAAAAGGCAGCTTTAGTCCGTTAGGTTTGATATACACATTTTAGGGAGAGAATACATTTGGGGCTTCTTGGAAAGGTGGAGCTTGGAGAATAGAGGAGGTTCTCTTCCTCTCCTCCTCCTTTGTTCTTCATGATTATGGTTCCAGGTGTTGTTGTTTCTTTTCCTTTATGTTGTATTTTGTTTTCTAGGGATTAGATGTAATCCAATTGAAGGCTTGTGTTTTATTGTTAATCTATTTGTTGATCCATTCTATTATGTTCTAGATTCATTCATTGCGTTTAATTCAATCTTTAGTTGATATTAGGGTTTGATCAACCTTAATGTTAGTTAATTGATTGTATGAGACAAGATTGTATGTGGAATGATTGATTTGTAGCCCTGCCCAGGTATAGATTGGTTACTGTCTTTAAGATCGTCTTATGCTTAATGGGTTTTCGTTACTAGACTAGGCTACATGCCACTAGCTAGCTTAGTTGATGGAAACGCTAGGTTATTCCGAATGGTCGTGGTAATACCTTATAAACGAGAGACGCCGTGCCTATCTTGATTAGCTCTGTGAATGGATGATTTGTGACTATGCGAATTGGTTCCTTCGTGGTTTAGACGAGGCTATACGCCACTAGCTAGTTTAGATGATGAAAGTACTAGGTTGAACCTGATGATGTATGAACCCTAGAATGGAGTGGGGAGAACGATAGTTTGATGATTGATAAAAGCTTGAAAATATATATTTTGTTAGTGATTCAATTGGATTATTTGTGGGAAAATGTGTTTATGTGAAATTTGCGTTAATTATTTCATAAATACCTTTTACGGGATCATGGGTGTATTTTGAGTATTTTCAGGTTAAAACCAATATTTAAAGGAAAAAGAATGATGTCGATGGAATTCATGATGAGTAGGAACAAACAGTGAAAGAATCGGAG